AATGCTCGTCCAACACTTGGAAATGTGCCAAGCAAAGCCACGAAGTGTTGCGGAAAGATCAAGAGTGGTTCCTGGCCCAATTCAGGTGTTTGAAGTTTGGAGTGAACCTCATAAATTGCTACCGCCACAAAAGCAAATCAAAACACACCAATGGTTTCAATGAAGCCTGGCTCAAATGCGTGTCGGACGCATACCTCTTCACCAAGCAAATAATGTCATTTGGGCTCTCAGGCCAATCGCTTCGCCCAGCTCCATCAGATGCTATGCGGACATGGGGTGGAAGGTCTGCCCGGATCAATCATATTCAACTACTTTTCATAGTCAGTCATAATGCACCTTCCAAACTCTGTGGAAACACATTCCTGCCTCTTCGCCGTACAAATACGAAGCAGTGGGCTCCAGTGCAATCATCCCTCAAACCTCCAGAGACTGTTACTGGAGCGCGTTCAAGCCTCAGGCATCCATTCTACAATTGGATCCGATCCACTACAGTGAGCCCTTCACAACTAACAGCAAAGGGCTAGCGGCTAAGGCGCCATTGTTTCCAAGGGCGCACACTTCGCACAATATCCACCTCGATCTCGGCCGTCCCAAGCCACTTCTTCAGATCCAGCTTTGCCAGAATAGATTGAAGCTTCCTCAGGGTCAAGTGAATCATGTCCCATGCAGTGGGAACATATCACACCATTGAGCTACAGACTCACAAATGTCATTGTCATCAGCCATCTCGTCGATCCACTTGGTGGCACGCGATATGACTCCATACAGCTGATCTCAGCTCTCAAGAGATATATCACATCAAACACAGGATTCCAGCTAGTCATGAATGGCAGCCAAGAAGCCTATTGCACAATGTGTGTGGCCAACGCGAGCCATGCACATACCAGCAACCTCAAGGCCCTTCTGGAGGATTAGCCAGCAAAGCCATTTGATGAAACTGTTGTTCTTGCACTCTTTCACGGTGTTGTCCACCTGAGTTCAAAGGCAAAGACAACTGCAGGAAGGAGCACTTTCAGAAGTCAAAAATGATTCACGCTCATTGACTCATTGCCATCAAAGTGGCCCAAAAGAAGACTCTTTTGGGTGGGTCTTTTCCCTTCTCTCGACAAATCTGGGCAACCTTCTCAAGGTCGCGACACACACACTCTATCACCATGCTTGCATCGCCAGCTTGACGGCAATCAATGCAGTGGAGAGTCATGAGCACGTTATGCATCCAAACGCCCTCAATCTTCATTTTTGGTCGGTCAAATTTGGCCATGGTTTTGGTTTGGACATGCCCACGGCATCTGGGGATGCACCATTTTGCCTGGTCCATTCCATCCTCAGATGCTCCCTTTGGGCTGAATGCTCAAGAATGACTCAAAAAGGTTATTGAAGCCCCTTTTAGCCAAGAATCGGCATGGATAAAAAGACAGGCATCATCATCCGTCAATGGTGAGCTCTCCTGTGGCAATCCACATGGCAAGCAAACACATGCCAAGCAAAAGAACTGTCCTGAAACCAACTTTCCAAATGGCGATCAGATGCCACAGCTTCGATGTGAGATTTGTATTGTTTTGCCACTTCGTACTTGTCCAAGGCATCCTGAGCTTCCACTCTTTGAGGTCTGAAACAAGTTAAAGTCACACTGATCTTTCCTGGCAACAAGTTTGATTCCAAGCTTCCCTGCAGTCATGGAAAGCACTTTTGTATGCTGTGCAGTCATCACAGGCAGGGAAGTTGCTTGGGTTCGAGAATCTCAGAACTTGAGACCATTTGGCTTTATATCTTCGTGCAAAGTGGTTGTACCTCAGCCCAACCAGTCACGCCAAAAGTATTTGTGGCACATGAAGACCACGGGACCTTTATGCAAACCAGGAGCGACACCTTGAAAGAGCATTGGGAATGCAGCATCCGTATATTCCCTGGTGGTAGGAATCTTGTAGGAAGCAAGGATGGGTCTTTGCCCAGATTTGTATCCACGAACCTCAACTGAACAGTGGGCCCTTGGCTATAGACATTGAGTGAGGAGAGCACAAGCAAAGAAAACCAATGAGGCCATGGCTGCGTCCACAGCATTTTGTGGCCGAGGACGTGCAATTTCAAATCCAAATCTGATTCAATGCTTTCGGCAGGGACGGGATCATCTTCTTCAATGCCAGAGTCATCTGACATTCCTTGATGCGTGTTGGAGCAAGCTACCTTTGTGTGTCCCAACAGCCCAAACAATAATGCCGACAAAGCAACCATCATCCTCATAATGACCACGACATCCATATTCGACAATCACCTTGGAGCCAGACTTTGAAGTCATCGAGCTTCCTCGAAGACGAGCAGCCCTCTGAAACCTTGGCAGGACAAGTTGAGTTGATCACGAACAGAAGTTATTGGAGTGAAACTCTTAGAAGCAAGGGGCTTCGTTGGTAGCATGCCACCCTGATCTATGTAGACTTTCAAGAAGAACCAATCCAGCCGCATGGAAAGAAGAGGAGGCCGTTTCTTTTCCTGCATGGGCTAGAAGCATGACCCAAAAGCTACAGAATTGCAAACTGCGAAACACCTATCATGGAGCCGAGTTGCTGCTCCAAAGCATCTATATCGTCTGTCCAGGTTTCCACTCTGACAGCTTTTAAATCGTTGGGGCCTCACCCCCATCAAGGCTGCGAGACAATGCCGTGAGATCTTGTTGCCCAGAAGCTCCCATTGGCGATTTCCCGGCGTAGAGTCGCCCATGCAGAACGAGATCTGAGTCGGTTCTGTTTCGATCAGACAAACAAAAGCTCAAAAACCAAACATTAAGTCATGGAGCTGCCAAACGAGTAAGTGTCAGACGAACAGATCTTGGCTGGGCTTCTCCAAAGTCCAAAAGCCATCTAGGAATTCATAGATAGAGTCAGCATTTTGTCTTTTGAAGCAGCCCCTTTTGCAAATGCACTGCTGGCGCAGAAGCTCATTGATACGCGAGCGATCTCTTCCATTGTCGCAGTGCCTTAAAACAGATCATTAGTCCACATACCAAAGATCTTTACTCGATCTTGATGACACTGGGCCGTTGAGGCATGTTGAAACACTCCTTTAAATATGACAAGATGCTTCATTCTCTCCACAGGGTTGGCATCCAGTTTCCTTTTCGTGCTGTCGTAGTTGGGTCGAAGTCTGGGGACTTCCCGTGACGCTTTGAAGCCACTCCTAATCAATTGGCTTCCTTGAAATTCTCTAAGCTTCTGCATCGAAAACATGATGACCCTGCCATGGGACGTTTGGGAGGCCGTGCGAGGTCCTTCATCATCTTTTAAAGATGCAATGAACCTCCTTCTGATATCACTGCCATGGCTGGAACTTGCCATGACCTCCTTTTGAAGCCAAACGGCTCCAAGGAAAGCTCCAGGAGGCCAAGGGATCAAATAAAACGAAAAGAGGATCGATTATAACGAAATTGGCTTATATATATATATAAGAGATGGATATAAGGCATGTGGGTCAAGACTGGGGGACCCCAGTTGACCACTGAACATGAACAGTATAGACTACTAAGCAAGTAAACCTAGGGTGCACAGGGTCCGGGTATTGACCCACAGCCATAATATACACCTATTTCTGTGGAGTGTGGTTCATCTGCCACATCTGCCTTTTCCTATTGGGTGCTCGCTCCATTTCCAGCGGCGGCATGGCGACTTCCCCGCCTTCCTCTGCACGGAAGAGCTCGTGCCTCATCGGTGATGGAGGTGATGTTCGGAGGTGATATTCGGCCACAGGACAGGGGTCCGTACACCATGCTTTACTAGTATCCCTATATGGATCGATCCAGTCGTACCGAACCTCAGGTACGGTGATTGGAGACAGTGTTATGTAGGCAGGAGCGTCCAGTCGTACCTTCAGATGAAGGTACTTGGATTTGCAGGGTAAAATGTTGACTCGCCACCATCCACGGGTTTTGACGTGGAAAGAGGCGTTTTTGTTTGGTTTCTAGAACTTCTGCAGCATGGCTTCCAGATGATTCAATTCTTGAGATTTGAACCGCAAAGTCACAGGATGCCGTCGCTGAGTGGTGGACGAGCTGCACCATTTGAGGCACCATCCCAACCCTTCAAAAACTGGATGGCATCACATGGCTGATGATGGCACCGGGGGACCCTAGGAGAGACCACCGAAAATGAATAGAATAAGATTGACATGGTCAACCTACCAGGGCGAGTTCGGGTGAGCTTCGGGTGCCATGACCCACAGCCACATGCCACGTGCCAGGCCCTTCCGACCTTTCCAGTTCGTGACCTTTTAAAGGGCCCAATTAAGGGACCTCAGCCACTGGGATCTCAGCCATTAGATCAGTGGGAAGGTCCTGAAGGCTTTTGCTCGCTGAACAATTCTCTCTCCGAGAGCCGGTCTTGGGGGAGTTTGTGAAATTGCCTCATACTCAGCAGATCTACAATCTACATGCTTTTTGAGACCACGCATCACATGGAGTGACAAGTCTGAGAGCTCAAAATGAGGGGTACCCAGAACACTCATCGGGAATTCCCCTTAAAGCCTCAAAGGATTGCGTTTGAGAAAGTGGCACGGTCAACAAGAAAACTACTCCTTTCCGCTACAAACAGGAGGCTTTTGACTGCCATAGTTTGTAACACTCTTCTGTGTAGGATCTTACGGGTGAGTTCAACAAAGGTGTCCTCCCGATTCCATCACAAGGCCCGAGCTCCAACAAGCGCAAGGCCGCTGCCACTTGGTTCTTCACCTCCTCATCGAGCACTTCGCGTGGGAGAGACGTCGCTTGCGTATCGTGCTCGCGATGGTGTCGAGGCTTCGGGTGGAGAAGAAAGATGATGCCATGAGACATGAAAGGTGTGGTTTGTGCATAAGCCACGAAAGGGAACGCATCTCAAAAAGCCCAGAAATGGGACACCAAACGCTCCAAACAACCCTTGGTCCCTCAAAACCTAGGGAATCATTAAAATCCAAGACACCTCCATATATGAGGGTGTTGGAGCGTCTGTAGAACAAAAGGAAGGCATTTCGGGCGGCCTCCTCTGCAAAGCCCGCATGGTGATAGCACTGAGTCCTTAGAATAGCCAATTCGCAAGTCCATGGCAGCCGTCCATTGGATGATGGGACACGCTTTCCGTCTACCGTTCACATACCAGCACCTTCGACTTTGGTCTCCGTGGTTGGATTTCCCAGCCAGGTCGGATCTCCGGACACCCCAGGACCGTGTCGGGGGCACGGATGGAGCACGGATCGATCGGCGTCACCGATGGGCGATCGTGAAGGGATGGTATACGACGTGAGAATCGCCAGGTGCGTTGGGAGTCATCTGAGAATAGCTAGATTCGTTGGAATTCCATGACTCTAGGTACGCGGGAGTCATCTGCGAATGTTTGTGAGACCAAAAAAGGGCTGAAATATGCTATAATATATATAATATTGTAAAACATTGATAGCGGTAGATGGCACTCAAGTTCTGATAGCACAAACAAAACAAGACACCTGCCACTGCAAACAGCAAAGGGAGGGTTGAACAAGTTTCACGATTGGCAAGGTAAGTTGAACAAGGCGATCACGTGTGCCTTGTCTATCTTGGTGAGAAAATGAAAAGAATCGGTCAAACCAACTGACTGGCTGGTTGATGGCTTCAACTCACTTGAAAAAATACTAGTCAGTGGGTTCCAATCATTCCAAGAAAAGGTTGAACATAAGAAACACTGCACATATTTAGATACGGTATAAGGCTTCCCCTCGTGATTTAACCAGGACTGAGGACTCCTCCTGCACCTGGCTGACTTGCATAAGACAGAAGTAAGTATGAGATAGTACGAGTAAGTCTCGTCTCCCCTCCTATCCTCCTGTGCACAGAATCTTCCTGATAGATTGGCTCCAACAAATTTGAGCCACCGTCAAAATAATGACACTGAAGGATCTAGCCCTGGACATCCCTGGACCACCTCAGATTCTCTCGGATTTGCTGAAGGAAGCAGGAAAACAATTAACAAAATGCCAGAAGGGAATTCACCCATAGGGAAAACAAACATCACAGCGTTCTCTATCAAGCAACATCATCTACTGTATTTGTTGTGTCTGTAGTTGCTATATGATCTACATTGGTCCAACATATGCACTGAAACCATCTTGGATTTCTGTCCACAACATGCCCCGACCGAGTCTTGAGTCAAACCACGCATTCTTGGCACTGACTTGCATGATCTCCTGTCAAGGCATCCGTCGAATCCGTCAACCAACGGGTTCTTTCAAACACATTCTTCCAGCAAACCCGAGTGTCCAATGGTTTCAACATGTCTGATATGGCAGTAAGTGATATGGCAGTGCATGGCAGTCACTGCAAAACTGATCGATGCATTGCAGTTTCATATCTTCAGACCCCAAGATTTGCACTCCAAGCAGGTGTTGACCAAGTTCAAGTCCAAAGATGCTTAGGTAGATCGGTTTTTGCTGCCTCCTTTATTCACCTGTTGCCCCACCGGGTCTGTGCCCTCTGGTTGCTTTCATGTCCATCTACGTTTTCCAGCCCTTTCTTCTATGTTTCTATTGCATGGGAGGGTATCGCTATGGGGGCCAATATGCATGTGCTATACCACCTGTCCCATGTCCAAGGCAACACCAGGAGTAAAAACAATAGACGGTTCATTAATCAACCCCCACTGTGATGTAAAGCCATTAGGTTAGGGGGCAGGCACTGGGGCAAGGCCTATCAATCCACAGTCCACATTGGTTATAATATACACTCCCGAAAACTAACATAGACCCTGACTTGCTGGTCACCTGGAAGATTGTTGAACCCTCTACCAACCGATGTGTACTCAGGGTCCATGGAAGGGTCTCTTCGCGGGTGTAGGCAGGACGCAAATGGACGCAGCACCTCTCGGCCATTCAGCTCCAGGTCTCAGGTCGGGTCTCCGCGTGAGTCACGGAGACCCGCTGAACAGGAAGTTGATGTTCTTAAACCCTAGGCTTCATGGCCCACCATTAACTTAATAGGCTGAAGCCCGAATAAACTAAGGATTTGACACTACCAAAACCAGGTCCTTCCCATTTGTTTAAAGCTGGGGCAAGTTGCTGAGCGAGTTGCTGAGCAGGAATGGAAGTATCACAAACTTGCTCACATGGGATACTCACAAGCTGAGCAAACCGATAGTTACTCCGATAGTATCACAAAGCATATCAAAGAACTGAGTAAAAAGTCCATGGTACAAGTTCATCAAGTATGCCTTGCGTGGTTCCTCTCGTTTTGAGTGTTCCTTTTACCCGTCCTGGGAGTGGTCATAAACAAATGATCTGGAACTCACAAATTGAGCCTAAGCATTCCATGATTTGTACATCTCTGGAGCATCAACCCTTCTCACAAGCATACCCACCATGGGAATCTTCAACTTACACTGCAAGTCGAAGCACAACCATGGCCCCTTACTGACTCTATTGAGCTCTGCGTACCAAGCTGCCATACTGCTGCCGACCACGTACTCTGCCGACCCTGGCCCACGCAGCGGCGCACCTTCGCGATGTGCTTCACCTGTGCGTGGGCCGCGAGGTCATTGGAGTGCGACTGGCCACCTGGCGGCCACCGGCTGTGGATGGCTGTGGAGGGCGGAACCTGCTTTCTGAGGTGGAACGGGATATAATATCTATCCCAGACACGACCAGTCTGGGACTGCCATAGGACTGCCGATCAGGCCAGGGGTGGTTTTGGGGGTCAATTGATCGGCATATATGGCAGTCCCATGGAGTGTCTGGGTATATAATACCCATATATGGAATATATACCTACTTATGCCTACATTGACCCCCCAAACCACCCCAATGTACGCAAATATGGCATCCATGGAGCGTCTGGGCAATATTGTGGGCGACCCGATTTTTAAGAGTCCAGAAGAAAGATCGGATGAAAGAGAGACTCCGCTAAAAAATCCTCAACAAAATGAATATATGATATGTATTTATGTGGAAGCTTGTAAGCCTCTGAGAAGAAACCAGCGGATATCACTTATCTAGGCAAAAAGGTTGGAATCCATGAGAAAAAGGAGGCTCGAACTACACTCCTTGGGATCATTCAATTGGAAAATAGGCCCCTGGAAGATCATGTTGCTCTACAAACCATTGCTTTTCCACTTCGATGAGGATTCCACTCCGGGAGTGCACTTTTCTACTGTGAAGACTGTTTGACAGTGAAGACCGTTTGGGTTCTGTACCGATTTCACAATCCTGCCGTTCGGCAAACCATTCTCTAGAAATCTAGAAGAACCTGTCTGGGTCTGGTTGAACCCCCCAAAGACCACAAACCACTATCAGAACCACCCTAGGTCGTGGTGTTCTTTTTGTTGAGCCCCCGGAACCACCATGAATCCATCACCGAAGCTGCATCGATCCAACGCAACCTAATGACCAATTAGGGGGTTTCACCCATCGGTTGCACCTGGACAGTTCAGCCAATTGAGCCACGAATCCCAGACACGACGAATGGGACTGCCATAGGACTGCCGATCAAGCCAAACCCCTCTGGCACCACCCCAATGTAGGCATATATGGCAGTCCCATGGAGTGTCTGGGAATCAATGAACTCTATGAACAACCAAGCAAATGACACAAACAACAAATCTATGCCATGCTTCATGGCACAAACCTAGAGTCCCCTCTACCCATGCGATCTCTCCATTCTTTGGAGCCGGAGATGTCGGAGAAGTCACAGTTCAGCAAACTGTCCAGCGGATTTGAGTGACTCGTCCCCAACCCCACCAAAATAAAGCTCTAAAGGTTTCACGTGTTTTATTGATACCTTGTTCATCCTTGTTTGAGTGAGATGTCCCCAATCCGCCCAAAAAGAAGTGAAAGCAGGTCTCAGGTGATCGCACTGGGTATGCCATGAAACGCCCTTCTCATCCGTCTCTCTCCCTCCTTCTTCGCCGCCCTTCGCTGCTGCCTTCCTTCCGCATCTGTGTGAGCGCCTCCTTCAGCGCCGCTTGCTCGTCCTGGTGCAGGCGGAACATTCACTTGGAGACCAAGAAACGTGGGCTTGTAAAGGAACTGCCAAACGTTTTTTGCCAAGGTAGTTCTGGGTTCTGCGCTATTTGCACAACATATGTTTGAATCAGCGCAAGTCTAACCTCTAGACATCCCGACAATAGTTTTACAATAGTCTTATGATGTTTTATGAATCTCCAGCCTATGCATTTGCATGCTTTAGTTTGCAAAACCAAAACCACCGAAAGCCGTGACCTCCCGCAACAGGATATGTTTCCAACGTCCCAACAATTACGATTCAGAATTGTCCAAAGCTAATTCTTAACATTGCTATACTACATTGTATTCTGCTGTTGTTTCTCCCTTCAATCTGCCCTTCAACCCACTCTTCAACCTGTTCAAAGACCGAGCAACCACCGAGCAAGCAACATGTCCGCATCGAGCGCCTGCTCATGACGTGGCACCGGTGCCCTCAGGCGAGGGATGAGAATCTTCTGTGCCAGCTGGGCAGCGCCTGCGGGAGGAGACCGCGCAGACCGCGTCTGGGGCTGCGGTTGGGTGTATCCCACCCTGGGCAGTTCGTGGATGAGGATGCTTAAGTATAGGCTTAGGCCCTTCTCCACACACAAGTAATGTACTAGCAAGGGGTTGGGGAAGAGGGAACTCCCGGACTCCCTGTATCTTGACTCCTGAACTTTCTGATCGCCCCTCGCTGGGTAGACTGGTCTATGTTCCAAACCTGCCAGGCGAGGGGGTCATTGCCAGGGGGGCCGGTCTCCCTATTTTCATACACACATTCGGTCATCCAAAGGAGCAGTAGTGGATAGTAGTGGAGCAGGAACGAGTTGAAGAGGATTTGTTGGGATGTTTTGTTTTGGAGATCACCCCGGATCATCCCAAATGATGTCTTTTTGGTGTGCTTAATGGGATGGTTTGCGGATCCTCCCACAAATGAAAACCTATTCAAAAGGATCCTCCCATCGTCCGATCATCCTGATGGAAGAAAAGACACTGGCCCCACCTGGACCTGAGCCTCCTGAGAAAACCACACCAAATTCGTGGTGAACGACTCATTTCTGATGTCAATAGTAGGATATAGTAGGATCATCCGTCATATCACAGGGATGATCAAAGTGGCAGCTGTGTCTCTCATAGACAGTCTTGCTGGCTTGTTAGAGTGGTAACAGTCGAGACTATCATCCGCGATATATTGGAAGAGTCAAAACACAACAGGCATTAAATATGCATGTATTATATACACACAAAAGCAAAACAAATTGTTTCATCGTTGCTTCTGGTTTTGAAGACTTCACTGCTAGGCTTCTTGGATGAAGATGTCCCATGCACACACTGGACCCACTGGTCGCGCCGGTACCGGACCTCCCTGGAGCAGGTTGGGCCCGTTCGGCAGCATCTGGCGGCGGCGTTCGATCCGGTGGAACCTTCCGGAACCCGGGGTGTCTATGTCCCTATAGCCTTCTCCGAGGTGTCCCAAAACCACCTACTCCGGGCGAAGGGCCAAGGGTTCTGGGACAAGCCTGCTTGGACCAGTCAACCGAACGTTTTGTTCTGCGCCAAAGAAACAGGTTTTCGAACTGAACAACACCGGTGTTGGTGCCGGTGGGAGGAAGTGAAGGGTGTCCAACCCTCCTTCCCGGCGACGAGGGTGGCGGTGGCGGTGGCGTTTCGTTTCGGTGGCTCGAAGCTGAAACGAAAGAGATACCGAACAGGATCCCGTAACCCTGATTCGTGCAAGTTTCGTCCGTTTCCTTGGAAAACAGTTTCAGGTTCACCGAACTGTCCATCGGTTCGTTTGTGAAAGCTGGTGTCCCTCTCTTCTTCGAAGAGCAGGCGATCCACCTTTCTTGGGTGGGCTGACAAGGATGGTTAAAACGAATTTGTCAAACAAAAAGAAGTTATCCATATCGTATAAAGATCTTCAATCCTCTCAGAGGATGCCAAACTTCCCAAAGCAATCTGTACAGTATAGAACCTGAACCATGACATTGAAACATTCAAAATTCTGATTTGTTTGCTTCAACAGGTGCTAGCAGCTAGCAATTCATTCAGCTAGGAGTCTACAACACCCCTGCTGGGAATTCTTGCCAAAGATCTACCAAAACGACAAGTCTACAGAACCCTGTGAAATGAACAGGCTGCGTGAAAAAACATATGAAATTCCAACAAAAACACACACACACTGCTCTTGTACGCGTCGTCCTCCACACTCACACAACTGCGAAGTCATGAATGTCTCAGTCACCAACAAAAGGAGGCCTGCACCTGTCCGGCAAACTCCTTCTTTAGAAGTTGTAGCTCAGACCTCAGTGAAAACATGCAAGCTACGGCCAGTCCACCTGGTAGACATATGAATCTGATGGTTGTATTCCTCACTAACATCAATTCCATAGCGTGTTTATATGTTTGGGGGCAATATATGTGAGAATCATATGGGGCTACAAAGGCTGGGGTGCAAATGTTTGCAGCAAAAATCCAATCTTCCCAAGCACGACACATGAATCGGGACTTGCATATTCACCGATGAGTTTTCTGCTTTTGTTGGGATCAATGGATATTCCATGCAAGCGGATTTCGAACTGTGAATGCAGTGGGAGTGCTGTGGCATGACCGGTCCTGGGGGTCAAAGGGACTTTCATGTCAAAGCCACCAGCTATGGCTGTCTCCAAGCGTTTTCGGTGTCGTGCCGTCGTGCGCAAGGTGTCTATGCCAATGACCAGGGAGGAGTTCGCAGTTTCCCGGGGTCGCATGGGGTGTAACCCTCACCAGTCCACCAGTCCGCGGTCGCGCAGCGGACAGGACAGGAGGGCAGACCATCCCAAGCGCACTACAGTAGTCTTCCTGAAAAGCTTCCGCTCGTTTGCCCCCATGAGCCATGAAGGCAGACCGTCATCGTTTCTTTCATCATCTGCTTTCCCGGTGCTGGAGAACATCAATCTCAGATCCGTTCCTTTCAAAGTTTCAATCACCCTGCGAAGAAGTCGAAGGGGTTTGCCGCAAGAAGCCAGTTCGACCAACTATACCCAAACACGACGATCCATGGTACTGCCATGTCGGACTGCCGATCAGTTGGGGGTCTGGCTGTTTCTCGGCAGTCCGACGCTCCCAGGCAGACACCGTCGTGTCTGTCCGATCGATGCAGTCCCGACGGAGCGACGGATGTCCATCGGATGTCCTACGTTCGCTGTTCTCCAAAAGCTCCAATCTCAAACCTTGTTGACCTTGTTGACCTTGAAGGGGGGGCGGGGCCGTTTATTCATCCGGTGTTGACATTAGACCAAACTGACGGAACCGTCGACGGTTCGACCAGGTCGAACATCCGACGGAGACCGCTGCAGGCTCCCGGACTCCGGAACTAAGGACTGAAGCCGCTGGATCATATCCACCTCCGTGTCGCAAAAAACGTGGCGATATTCCGTCGGTCGCGATATCAGGGCGGTTTCAAGTGTCTTCTTTGGAGTTGTTTGGGTGTCCTTACTACGCGGTTAAGTCCAGTCATGACTCATGACTAGTTGGGTATCTATAACCCCCCAAAATGCCCAAAACTACCTGGTGGATCCTTCAGTACCCGGCGGAGAGGCTCAACCAGGACCCAGCGGATGATGATGGGGCCAACAGTTGCAGGCCTTTTCATGTCCAAAACATTCTACAGCAATGATTTGCTTGTTTTATTAAGGACTGTTGCAGGTAATAGGATAGACTGTACAATAGCTCTTCAACATCAAGCACTTGGATGGTCTTTTGAAACAAAAAACAAGAAACACCAGCGACCGTAGCAAGGCTTGAGAGTTTGACATACATCACCCCCAGCCCCGTATCTCTACCCCGCATCAATCTACAGTAAGAATCTCTGTTGGAGATCCAACCAATCTTAGACCAACCCAAACGCGCTCATTCACAGCCCTTTCGCGGTCCCTCAACACCGAAAGGGATTGCTTCGACCGCAGTCCCTCCATCCATCTATCCCTCCATCCATCTATCCGTGCCTCTCGGTCTGCACGATTCTGCCGCCTGGGCGCCAAGCAAAGTGGTGTTGGTTTCTGATCTCCAAGTAGAACAACATAATAAGCAATTAATAATTTAGAATGATGTAAATCAATGTAAATCATTCTGGAAGTCAATTGACGTTAGTTGAGATCTGATTGAGGAGTGTAAATCCTGTTGAATCCTGTAAACCATGGATGGACAGAACTAGACATGTGAGAAAACATGTGAATGAAAATGGTGGAAACTATTAAAATAATAAAACACTTGATTGAATAGCACAAACTTTCAAATCGTTCAAACTCTATATAGACAATTCTAAAACATGGATGACACATGATGACACAGTCCCCCAGTTATATAGGTGGTTTATTCGGGCCCCCATCTGTCTAAGACATGTTGAGGTGCTACTGCCATGGAACCTCCAAAACCACATGTTTTGATCCCTTTGGGCGTTGGGCGGCGGATTTCGGCGGATGTCGCTTGGGCAAAAAGCAAGCGCCCGTTCACCAGCAAGGTCTGGAAAACTTCTGCTTGCAGGCGCTTTTTGAAGTGGGGGAGTGCTTTCACAGAACAATGTAGCAAATGCCAGCAGCTTGGAAAGAAGCTGTGTCCCATCCAATGCGGCCAAATGGTCGCATCATCCGATCGATTTGGTCACGCATCATCCGAGAAACTGTAGCTCATTCCCCAGGCCATAGTCATGAAGCCTCAGTGAGTTCCGGCCGACCCAACAGGTGGAGACACAGGCGACCCGGCCTCGGGCGACTCGGGCGACTGCAGAGACCGGATCCAGCCTGGGGCCTTCCAGAAAAGTACGAGCCTCCGAGTCGCACCAGTCACCCCCTGGATTTCACTGGAGATTTCAGCTGATTCTCTATAGGTGGAAACCACTCTTTCACCCTGACCGAGGCTTCGCGAAGGGTCATCATCCGTCAGGCTGTTTCTTTATGAATGCCTTACCGTCAGAAGGCGGTTTTCCTGCGAAAAGGGGTACGCGTTCCTTCAGAACAGTACGCAAGATCATCGATCTGCAGATTTCCTGATAAATAGTAGGCCAACAATAGTCCTTTTAGCAAATGCAAACACCTCCCCAATATTGCATCATTTTACTTATATACAATCTTATGTCGCCTGCTGCTATCATCCCCCCAAGAAAAACTCTGGAATAAAAGACCGTTGGCTTCCAACGACTTATTTGAATCATTTCTCTTGAAGCTCCCAGAGATGTTCCCCCTGCGCTTGGCCTCCCTGCATGCGATTGGCCATGGAGCGTCGACGTGCCTTGGCCTCCTCACCCGCCATGGTCCTCGTGTCACGTCATCAGACGCCCTCGCCGACTGCCCGGGGCGGTGTAGGTACACCCCCTCTCCTCGAGGAGTTCGACCCAGCCAAGACTAGTCTGAATGCCAGGGAGTTGGAAACCCAAATAGTTCGAAAAACCTAGACGTCAAAGACAAACCCAAGAGTGAAACTCCGGTTTTCGGCTACTACCCGAGATACCGGACATTCTCCTTCTGTTTGACCAGGTGGTCTTATTAGGATTCTTGCCCATCAACAGTAACAATAATTAACTGTGTTGTCCCCCCAAAGAATGCGGCCCTCCCCGAACGAGCTTGGAAACTAGGGTTCCCTGAAACGACTCAAAACCCATCCTATTGCCATCCCATATTCTGCTTGCTTCACGAAAGACTGCTCCTGCTTCAAAACATTGAAACAACCGGAGTCGGAGCATCTCTCATTCATCTGGGGACGCCTCCCATTTCAATCAAGTACCGGTAACGTCTACACAGCGCTTTCATTCGTGGTCCAACCCCCCAGCACTTGCTGGCCTCAAATGTGCAGTATCTTCATCTGACCTAGGCCAGTCGCACAGGGCCAAGCATATCCGCAGCACTTCTGATTGTGACCATATCATGTTTGCTATTGTTTGCGTCTTACAGTCATGATTGACGGTTGCATTCATCATAGTAACAAGATTCTCTGATCTGATTTTTGAGGTGCACAAAAACAACTTTTCAACTTTGCCCCAAGACCTCCTGCAGGGAGCATAGACTAGACTGCTGCAGCTCGGTGACTCAAACAAAGCAGAAAAGAAAGAGTCCAAGCCTTAGTGGGGCGTTGATTCTCCCCCTGTGGTCGCTACCCTCCTTTAGTGGGGCATATGGATACCCCAGTGGATAACCCTTGCTCCTTCCCTGCAAAGCACCATTTGAATCGGTTCCACTGGAGGATCTTGGACATCTTACAAATGTCGACACCAGATTGAACACAATGACGGTTCATGCATTGATTGATTTGTTCATCCATGTTCATACAAACATGTCACTTCGACTTCAGGCTGTTGCTATGAGGACCAGAATGACTCTCATGCTAGTCTGACTGGTGCTTCGTAGGGAATGAGGGAAGTTTCGCCCCCAATAGAGATTCCTTTGGATCCAGCCACCCTCATTCCCTGCTGAAAGTCGCACCAGTCAGTAGTTGAACATCTCTTCATTCCCTCAGTGGCCCGACGTCCGTCCTCACTTCGAGGGAAGCCCAATGTCCGACCGCCGGCCGACGCCGCCGAGCGCCGCACACTTTGACGCCGAGGTCCACCTCTGTTTTCCGCCGCGCCGAGCGAAGAAGACGAGCGGAGAGTCACCGATGAACATATAGCCAACATCTCCTGAAGGTGCACAAAAACAAACACACAAATGTAGGGGCGCACTGAAACCAATATTCAATATAGTTGTGTTTTGATGTGTTTTTTTTCTTTTTTCATGGCTCTGCTTCGAAGGTGTTTGGAATTGGCTTTCAGGGGTGTTTAAATAATTGCCTTCGGATGTACTTGGAGCCCTACAAACAGGTATGGGAGCGTCACAAGCCAGTTTGTAAGACCTGGTAGTGTGACCTGGGAGGGGACCTATAGGAGAGTGCAACCTGGTTTTTACATCCTGGTAAAACCTACAACAAAAGGACATATTCCCGGGAAGAGACCCACATGCAACCTGAAAATGGACCTGACTGGAAGACTGTTTTGCTCTACAACCCTAGTAGTTTTCAGGTTCCATGTTAATATTCCAGGGCGTACATTAACAACATCACGCTTGAATGCGAGGTGTGTCTCCAGCAAGATCAGGTTTTATATTATATATTACTTGATAACAGAAATCATATAATGACCTGTGCAAACCGTCCGTTTGACTGCATGAAAAACCTGTTTATACTTCATTGTTTTTTGCCCCATCAGGTTGGAGGCATTCTCTCCAGGCCACCTGAAGTTCGATAAATGCCTTGCTCCAGCATCTTCAAAAGCAAAGTACACCAATTCATTAAACCCTTGCTTTGTCCGATTGTACATATAATATTATACGTATGTAGTACAGTACCAGAACATCACCCAAGAAACAATACATGTTGCTTGGAAACTATAGATGAAGTATGATGAAGCCTCTATTTCCAGTACAAAAGCAAAAAAAACAACCGGTTCAAACCAGGGAGTCACCTGACTTCCCACCATCCTGCTTATACTCGCTCCACTCGGGTGCTCCGCACACGCATCCGAGCCAAGAAGAGATCGGGAATGGGGATCGACCAATCCTGGCAGCGATCGACCACTCCGCTGCTCAACGGGGTCGCCGACACAGGACGCTCCCGAACGATGCGGTGGGACGGGACGACGATGGGAGCTTTCGAAGGATGGACTTTTGGACGAACACGAGGGAGAGTCAGTGATGCCTGTGTCTCTTGCTTGGGAGGCAAAGGAAGGCATTGTGCCAGGGGGGTGGGAGGAGGTTCTATCAGGATTTGCTGTGCCAGATGCTGCGCAAATCACAAAGGAACCCAGGTCATCCTAAGTCCAAGGAAGGACATGTCATGTCACATGCTGAGGCCCGAGCGCGCTCCGCCTCCTTCAACCTGAGCGACCGCTGCGCCCGAACCAACCATGCAAACACCCAGCAGGTTCTCGGTTCCAGGAGTCCTTCTATAGGTTCCACAAATCATTCATTTCTTCCGTCTGCACCATCCGCCAGGTGCTCCCCTGCAAACACCAGAGTTTCAAGGCAAAAGTGTAGGATTCTGCAGTAGATATGATGTCACCACTCCCTGGATCTCCCTGTGGGTGGGTGGGTTTGGTGGCGATGTCCCATGGCCAACTCGTTCGAATGACCATGAATTCTCCAAGAGGACCAAAACAGCGGTGGGTTTTTCACCGCGTCGCTATGGTGGGGAACTGGAGACGTGGCTAATTTCTTTCCTCCCAAGCGAGATGGAGATTGGAACTGGAACATGTCCTGGTGAAGTGACTGGAACTTTCACATCAGAAAGTGCACCCGTTCTTGGAAGCTTCGATCGCAGCTGGCAACCCTCAGCACCACCACCCTGCAGTAGTCTACCGCAGCCCTTAGTGAAAACACAACACCCACCCAGCCTGCCAGGTGTAAGTCAAACCAAAATGAAGCCATCGCTGGTCTTCTGAGCTTTTGACTCTTTTTGAGGTCCTAGGTTCATGAGTGACCCTCCGTTTCGGGCTCAATGTAGACAAATAATGAACATAACATGGTTGTTGAATTCAATTGGGGGGTTATTGAATCTATACATTACCCTACAAGTCGACCTCATTTTACTGACATTGGTCATACAAGTTCACACTATTGAAGGTCAAGGACCAGGTAACCAACTGGGTCAGACTGGACTTGTAGGGTTAAGTGATCGATCCTGAAACGTCCATCCATCGAAGAGCTTTTCGGTGCTTCAAAGGAATGGTTGAACACGTCCATCCCTCGGGTCCCCACACCCGGGCCTCTTCGATCCCACTTCTTGATCCACAGTGGATCCACATACCGAACCTCAGAAGGTAAGACTGGACCCTCCTGGCGCCTAAATAAATAATCTCCAATCACCGTACCGACCTGGTTCGGTATGTGGATCCGGGTTTCCGCTTCGATCCAGTCTGTCCCAGCGGCTGTTGAGCTTCATCCGCCTTCTTCTTGGACACGGCTTGCGACTGCCAACGCCCGAGGACCGCGAGAGGCGGAGCAAAAGCGATGGCGACGGCGAGCCTCCCGTGGTCATCAACGTCTCCCGTGGTCGTTCGGGGCGGTTTGAAAAGACCAATTTGGACGTAACTGGACCGATTGCAGATGAGGATGTGACCATGCTGATGCAAAGTCACACCCTGGCCTTCGATAGAAGGTCGTTGAGCCAAACCCGTTCAATCAAAGGAGGTTCAAACCCTAGGCTCCAGTATGGACAAGTTCTTCTAGAAAGGACCCTTGGAGAGAAGCAAGTGCCCCAAAAAACATCGTGTCATTCTCAGTTCTCAAAATGTCGAGACTTCATCGTTTCAAGGTCCTAGCTTCGAGACACGTCATGTCACTGAACTGGAGATGAGCTGAGGGATTCCTTGGTCAGTGTGATATCTGCAAAATTCATACATACTCCAAACAAAGGAACTGACCTGCAACCTATAGACATCTATAAACTGTGCATCTTCTCTGAGCAAGCGCAGGTTGCTGAGACATTCCTTCAGTTCCATTCTATCCCCAATTCTGTTTCTTGTCTGGCCACCATCGAACAAACCAACAAACCACACACGTCGAACGCTCCGTTCTCCACCCACCCGGTCGGCGGTGAAGTTGGAGATCAACGATGCCAAGGACATGCTGGCGTTCGTGGCCTGCAAGGACGTGACCGCTCGGCAGCAGGGGCACAGCCGTAGATGGCCGTAGAGGGCCCGTTTGGGATCCAGGAGCTACCGAACCTCAGGTACGGTGATGTGTTGGAGACACTGTTATATAGGTGCCAGGAGGGTCCAGTCGTACCGAACCTGAGGAGGCACTTAGATCCCTAGGGTGGGGTCATAGGCCAAGTTTCGACCATGGCCACGATGAAGCTATAGGATAAACTTGACATGATAGACATGGTCCTTTCGTTTCGATTGATGGTTCGATTCAGGTCGATTCAGTTTGTTCATGTCGAATCTGAAACTTTTGGGATGAAGAGATAAAGTGGCCGAGAAACTTTGACATCTCAATCTTTGGACGTTTGAAGCCTTGCCATGCCCTGCACACAAACATTGCCCCAACCAGACCTTCTCGTGTTTGATCGCCAGCAACACGTCAAGTACTGCGTTGAAGACGGCCCCCCCGGCAAGATGTTCAGAAGTTCACACTTGAGTCGAGCCATCAGGATGATAACAATAGTGCTGAGAATGAGATGTGCTACAAAACCGTCCGAGTATCCCACCGTCTTGCCATCATTCCATGTACTTCGATTATCGAACAAATCAGAAAGTCAAAAGATTTAAACAAACCTGTGGGGGTCTAGATGCTCCAATTGAGTTCTCTGAGTGTCCAGTAACATCCCCCAACCGTGAGGGCTGCGAGGGAAGGAATCTGTTGAGTTTCTCATCTTCAAAGGGTTTGTCCAGAACCAAACCATCGTGACTTGACTACGGTCTGAACGCTGGCAACAGCTCATAAAGTCACCGTGGTCTGAACACTTTGGGAAGCGGAGCCAGCGGGCCGAGGTGTCATGACACCGGGAGACCTGGGTTGACCAGCCAAAAAGAAACAGAATGGACCATCTAAGGTCCATCTACCCTGGGGCTCACGGGGCTCTGGGTGCCATCACCCACAGCCAGGAGAATACCCAGTTCCCACCTCGGCATGGTCACCCGTCACTGACCTGGTCACCTTTTGACTCGATCGCCGTGCTGTCCGCATCGGTCGCTGTCCAGTCATGATGGTCATGAGAGCACAAGTACGTAAACGGCCAAATGTTTGGCAGTCACCCTTTCGATGAGGCCATCCTCGTTTTCAAATGCGACAAAAGCCTTAAATTCCGACCCGGGAGGAGATTTCACGCATTTCATCTTGAGGTCATAGTAATATTTTTCACCGTACTGAAATCCGCCATAGGTGTTTTTCAAAGTCAGTCGTACTGACTTATCGGTCCAGCTGAGCCAATGATACAATCGGGTCATGGTGTGGACTTGTGACAAAATCCAATCAAAGGCGTTTCCCTTGCCCTCCAGCGACCAGGGTGTGCCTGTCTCCTCCTCATACACCAGACCGTAGGTCACAAATGAGCTCAGTAAAGCCATGGCACCATCTTTGGAGATACCTTTGCTCAGCATTCTCCCAATTTTCCCTTGCAATGCCACTAATTGCCCGCTTCGATGAGCAGTATGGGCAGTAGATGCTGCAGCTGCCACATTCATCTTGAAAGCAGGGAGGAGTTTGGTCAGCACACCCTGCAAAGCGGACTTGGCTCCACCTCCAACGGAGGTTCCAGCCACACCTGATATGGCAGTGAAGACTTTGGAATGAAGGATCTCTGTGAACTTCAACTTTTCGCGGAGGATCAGGTACACCTGATGCCCCACAAAGTCTTGTGGGCACGTCAAAGGCAGCTCTGGCCTCTCTTGTAACAGGTCTACAATGCTGGAGACATAGCCGTTGATGATGAGGTCGTGCCAACCAGTGACAGGAATGGATGACCATTCATATCGGAATTGAAATTTCAAGTCTGTTTTTCCATTCAAAGTGAGCAAAGGGCCCTTCAACTTTGGTCGTTTTTGTCGTCGTCCTCTCGGTCTTGGCGGTCTTGGTGGCAGTGGCTCGTCATTTTCCAACTGTGAGCCATTTGAGCCATTTTCCAAACCTGAGAAATTGAAATCTGCTGCCGAATCTGAGCCATCATGTCTGACAACCATCATGTAGCCACTAGCATCATTCTGGAGATGCCGCGCAGCAAACACCAAAGGCAACGCAAGGAAGTGGATGAGTCCCATCATGAACATTTCACTGGAGGTTTGGCAAAAAAGCATGCTTCACACTCGTTTGAGCCCTATGCCGCAGGGAAGACCTGGAACACTTCGATGTCACAAGAACAAAACGATGCTCTAAGCTAATACTGGCCTGTTGTCAAGCAAGTCCAATAGTCAAATGGCCTCCGGACGACCCAAAAAGGGTCCTCAGAATGTGGTGTCAGAGGTTCGATGGCACAAATTACCCCCAAGTGAAGGTGGTTTAGTAGTGGACCCCCATCAGTGACAGACATCTTGGGGTGGAAACGTGCCATTTCTCACCTCTGAAACAACTGCAATCCCATGTATTGTGTAATCCCAAAAACACACACCGCCTATCACTGGGATTGCGGTTTTTTCTTAGTGCACAGAACCTATATGAACCACTCATCCATCCGGTGTGCCCCATCCGCTGTGCCCCTTAGTGCCCCATCCGCTCCACCTCCATCCGTGAACCACGTGAGCGAGTGGTGGCTTCGGACCTCAGCCGGTGGGGTTTCGGTTGCGACTGGTGGTGGTGGATTCCAGCAGCGGAGGTGTTCACATGGTGCCAGGGGTTTGGATATTGCCGATATGCAGGGTATAGCCACGACCCCTCCATACCGATCTTCCAACTGTGCCAGATTTCTGCGCGTAGTTGGAACATCTGGATATGGAGGGGTCGGACCACAATCCTCGCGTCAGGGTTGAACAGGGTCAAACAAATCCCTATAGGTTTTGAGGGAGGTTTGGAGGGTGAAGGGCATCTGGGTGCACGTAATATATATATATTATATCATTACACCGAGGGACCCTGACCCTTGTGGATGTGTCTTACAATGATACTAGTATAATTATATAATTGCAAGTTAATTATACGTAGCTCTCCTAGCATTCTATATCCCAAGGGCAGCCCAAGGTGGTTTGAACAGATCACATCAAAACAACTAAGTAACATTAAGTAACTATATTCATTCTCTGAGAGGTTTTGCCAATGAATGCACATCAGATCTTTTATAGAAACCACAGGTACCCCAAACTGAGAGGCTGGGGTCCTTTTGGCTTTTGAACACCTACACCCCGCAAATTTCCATGGTCTTCTATAGTCTTTCAACAACCCAGCAGAGTCTCACGCACACCGTGCCACCCTATCGCCCTAAAACAGTGCCCGTTCAGCCAGCGCACGTCTGGAGGCCCACACCCACACCATCCCACACCGTGAACCCGACACCAGCACCGTCGCATCCGTCCGGACGCAGCCACTCCTCGTCGCGTCCGTCCATCGCCGCGTCTCCGCGGCACGTGCCGCCCAAGGGGCACGGAAGGTCGGGCCTTCTCAGCCTTCTCGGGTTTGTCGCTCTCCAGTGGCGGCGTGGCGGCAGACCTGGGGGCAGCCGGGGTTCCCGGCGGACGGGGCCGTAGACGTGGATGGGATGGCACGTGTTTTCGCGAAGGGATGGGTATGACCCACTCCGTGAAAGAATCTGTGGAAGTATAAGTGGAAAACCATCACCTGTTTGGTGTATCACCTGTTTGGTATAGAATCTATGGAAGTGGAAAACCATCACCTGTTTACATTAAATGGTGATCCGAAATCGATGCCAGGCCATCCACGTAACCTTGATGATTTCAGGGAGTGTATAGACGAGGTGAGACATTTGACAGGACCACGCATTTCAAGCTACAATAGTTTCAGAGTAGATGGTGCAATCTCTAAAAGGTGGCTGACATGGACCCACATACACAAGGCATCTGTGGGTGGGTTTGTGCCATCTATACTGAAACCACTGTATAGATCAAACTGTTTGTCTTATATAGCCCCTCCTTCTAAGGGGCGAGACTATGATTTCAGAAGGATCTTCTAGCAAAGGGGTCACTTTGAAGACCCAGGATGATGTTATGTATAATGGTAAGATTTGTACGGAATCATTTCATGGAATATTTGTGGAAGCCGGCCTTTCCTTGCTCAAAAAGGCACCCTCTCAAAAGGGTGAATGGTCTCGTCTTGTCACGCATCGACCAAATTGATGATGAAATCCCATGACTCCCAGAATTGTTTTATATGAGGGAAAACCTATATAGGAAACCCATAGCTGTGGAGCTGAGAGCCACGGTTGCCTGTAGATTTTGCCCTTAAACTGTCAATCGCCCAGAACCGTAATTACAAAAACATACGAATCATACGCACCCCACTGCCTCCTCTGCTCTTTCCTTTCCCCACCTTTTCTGCATGTTTCCAAACAGAAACGGATCTTCCGGAACTGTTCTTTCCTCAACGTCGCGTGGGCCGTCCCGTGTCTCACCGCTGGGACCCCGCAACAAAGCCATGACGAAGCTCATCCGTTTTCCGCCCTCTCGGGACTCAGCGCAGGTGCGGCGCAGAGAAGCGCATGCGGTCGTCCGATGGCGAGGGCGGTGGCGGCTGCTGCGAGGGCGGGTCTAGCTCGAGGCTGGCGGTCGATCCAAGTCCTCCTACGAAAAGGATGGAAACGATTCGAGTCGATTCGATTCGTTTACAGTAACTTGATTTTTTGTATTTTTTGGGGATGTACACTCCCTGAAAAGGATCATGGGCACGTGGCACCGCATGTTTTGTGGGTTCTTTGAAGTTGTGAGACTCCCTGAAAGAATCTGTGGAGTATATACAGTATGAGGATAGTATGAGGAAAATGGTAATTCTTTCAGGGCACGGCCATCCAAGTAACCATGATGATTCCTGGGATCTTCACCGCTTTGAGCGACGACAAGCGTCAGTGCATCAATCACGCGACAAGCGTTTTTTTGCTGAAAACGCAGATTGTCATTGGTGTTCAGTGTTTCTCCGTACATGTTTATAGATTCAAGCACTTCCTTCTTGTTGATCTCCCATGTCCACTCCCATCTTCCATCGACCCGTCCCCTCTGTCGGCCAGTACAGCCACTACAGTAACTCCTGCTCTCCTCCTGGACATTCCTGGCTTTTGGAACGTGAGAACATCCAGTCCCGGTGGGTAAGATTACTATATAGAGTACTGCTCCAAGTATGCAAATGTTGAACTATAATTGTGTTGTCATGTGTTTCAGATTTTGGATTTTCTTGCTACGTCCACCAGACGGCCAGGAGGTTTCTCTTAACTGAGATTGCTTGGTCCTTGTTTCAGGTGGATTGGATCATGTTTATATATCCGCCACAACAGCTAAAACAACGCTGACCCCGCTCTCATTATTATTAACTCTTCCCAGTTCTTTTGACTGACCACTGTCACCACTCCTCAGAATCCATTTCAACCAAATCCGTTCGCCATCCTTCACCATTCCGCACTCGCCCCGGCGCCGCTCCGCACTCGCCGGCGAGACCGGCTCGACCGCGGTCTGCTGGGATCCCCGGACGCGCACCTTGGTGGAGCTGGTGTCCTCGCACGGCGCACGTCCAAACGACGACATCGGGGGCACGCGTGTTTCGCCGCCGGAGACGTGGGCGGGGTGTTGGTGAGCAAAAGATCGTCACGAATACTGAGCAGAATCTGGTCATCAAAAGCAAGCGATTGTGATTGTAAAATCCTACCAAGATGATGAAAGGATATGACATTCATGGTCTTGAAACGGTTTCGGGACGCCGTTTTTCAAATGAGACGAAAAGCGCTGGCGGAGACTGGGAAACCTGGAGCCTCGGAATCGCCATGGCCAATAGGACCGACATGGACGCAACGAACGAAAACGAAACACCCGGGTCGAACAGCACCCTGAGTTGAGTCCGGCTGGAATGACTTTCGCTGCACCAGTGGTCTTCAGGGTCCAAAGCCGAACTGAGAATTCCGAATGTTCCACCGGTTCCCTGGAAAATCCCGTGTATAACTGAACATGTTGCAAAAATTCCAATCGAAGAGAGATCAGAACAAAAAAGGCACAATGAGTCTTTGCACTCATTGAGGGGCCCTCCCATTCTCCCCGGCGCGGCTTCCCTGGAAACGTTTCAGGTTCAAGCTGTCCACCATTTTAGATCATATAAAGTGAGGTGTCAGGTGTCCCCTTCTTAAAACATCGGTGAAAGCCAATGATCCATTGCTCTGGGCGGCCCTCAACGACCGGAGACGAACGGTGCGACCCACAGCGGCAGAGCAAGTTCACCGTCTCCTCCCGAGACTTGGCGCGCTCCTGGCGAGGGCGGCGTTTGGATGCGTTTGGTGTGTCGTTTGGTGTCTCACCCGTCGCATGATGCGGAAGCTTGGATGGTGTGGATGCAGAAGATGGGGCTTCTGAGGCCGATTTGGGAATTGACACTGTCTCACAACGGTTTTCTTCAGACAAATGACGAATCGGGCCATGAGCGGGTTTGAGCCTCCAAACTTCACATCGCCCCGCAGTGGTGGTCTTCACATCCTTTGCCAAGTGGTCTTCCATGGTCGTACCCTACTCCAAGAGTGTGTGGGACTGGGTTGATGAGTTGCCTACGGTGTTCTTGGGTGCTTTTTGGAGTCGAGCCCTTCGTGGGTTAGATGCAAACGAGTCCGAGTGGGTCCCTTCTGAAGGTGTTTAACTGTCCGACCTTTTGACCTTGTTGTTTCGGTCCCTTCTTGGGACCGCTTTAGACCTTGTTCCTGTTCAAACTTTCCCTAAGGATCCAGTCGTACCCTCTGAGAAGGTGGGACTGGGGTGGGTGCCAGGAGGGTCCAGTCGTACCTTTTGAGGATGTACTTGGATCCCTAGGGTTTCTTGAAGATGTTATTATTAGGGTCCATGTAGTCAAACATTCCAGTCCAATTGTCAGGGCTCATTTGAGTGTGTAGCTCAAAAAAGGAAAACTTCCAGGCGTTCCAACCCCCTGGAAGAAGGGACATAAACCAGTCTACCGACTGGGCCTGCCATGTTTCAACCCCAAAGCCTGAAGAGGCTTTACAATCCATGTCTGCAGGGGATTGATTCATCAAGACTCCACATATATTTCTACATAATATGGACTCCTAAATAGATAGAAGTTCGTAGACCCCCACGTAGAAATATGTATTGGACACCGTGCAATCCTCTCTATTTTGGGATCATCTATGCCTCCAATCGAACCTTCAAAGCCCAACTTCTCTACCCCAGACACTCCATGGGACTGCCATATATGCCTACATTGGGGTGATTTGGGGGCAATGTAATATGGCATACATGGAGTGTCTGGGCACCAATCCATACCGTATCACCATGGCGTCTCTCCCTCCGCCTTGCCTGGAGTACCTCCTCGTCCAGCATGTCGTAGAGCACGATCCGAGCCAACCTCGAGGAGACGATGCCACAAGACGAGGAGACGAAACGCTGCAATCTCTGAGGACCATTTGCAGTAGGTCTTTATATATTATATATATGTGATTAAATGCCAAACACAAACAACACACGTTTGCCGTTTCGTTTCAAACAACACACAGACACACACCAAGCATCACAGCAAACAAGTGTGACATAAGCCAAGCACAAAGAACCACAAAATCCATGTGTTGGTTTTCCCTCACTTCTCCTTCTCCCCATCTTGCAGAACCCAGTCACCAGCGGAAGTAGTCTCCACGCCTCACGCTGTGTGCGACCGGAAGACAGAAGAAGTACTTCCAAGATGACTATCTATGTCAGAAGAGTCACATCGAGGGACAGGAAAAGTCACCGTCTTCCCTCCGAGGACTCGGTCGACCAGGCGCGGCCCCGTTTGTTTGGAGGCGGGAAGGACCTACATCTTCGAGGCAATTGACCTACATCCCCTAGGGATCCAAGTACCAAACACTGTTATGTAGGTTTGGAGAGTCCAAGTACCTTCTGAGAAGGTACCTGGATCCAAACGAAATTGATACTTCAAACGTCTGGAATTCAAGAATGGAAGTGGATGGCGACCCTGGAAAGACGTTCAAAGAGCCATGTCCAGGGATTGTCCATGTCCATGTTGATGGTAGATGCCAAACGCAGCTCTGCACACGCCCGTTTGGAAGGACCAGAAAGTGGACACCGCCAGCATCACCGCCAACCTCTTCCTGTGGACGACCAGTCTGTTGATGTCCTTTTCACCGAATCAGACTTCATCTGATCAGCAAAGATGCCCGACTTGGACTTCATCTGAGCTGTGCTGGAAACCTTGATAGATTCCTATGTCGTAAGAGGGTGCCCCGAGCTCTTATGACAAGACCCTTACTCATTACAAGCAAGTGGGTTTATGGCATGGCTCATCTGATATGCCAATCAGCCATACTTCATCTTCCGTGGACTCGTGGACAATGAAAGGCCCAACTCAAAGGAGATGAACAGACCAAGCAGACCCGAGCAGGTGAAGAGATTTCTGGGGAGATTCTGCACTTGTGTAGGAAGAGACTGCAACCATGGGCGCCCGTGAACTTGTGAAAAGATCATCATCATCATCATCATCATCATCATCATCATCATCATCATCATCATCATCATCATCATCATCATC